GGGGGGGGGGGGGTGTTGTGTGTGTCTGCGTGTGAGAGTGACAGAGATAGAGAGATGCCATCTATGACAACAACAATTATTTCTGGAGAACTTTGGGTGACATTTCAAAAATTCATCTCCAACACTATGAACGGACCGCAATTAAAGATGCGCCTGCGGAATATTGAGTAGGCCACAACCGTCAATTATGTCCGAACTCGAATGACAATTTTCTCAATGAGTTGTTCAATTATGCAATCAAAGTCACAATGAGCAATATATATAGATTGAGCCACCTATGACCTTCAGCAAACAACAGAGAAGGACTCTGGCAAGTCAAAAAATTAACAATGGAGATTGTTGAACCAAAACAGTTTTTGGGTATAAAATTTTAATTTTTTTTTTTTTTNATCTTACCTAAATGATTTGGGTTCAAAAGTCCAATCTAATGACACACTTAAATTTGGCAAAAACAATTTAGTAGAGAATGGTGGTGGAAAATGAAGGAAATAGAAAACAAAGATTTATGCATTTATTTAGCACGGAANTTTGAATAAATTTTTGTGGGTTCTTCTGCTTCATAAGGAGAATAACGTAGTTTACGAGTTCAAATAATGTAAAATGTGAATGAAAAAATAGGGTTGAAAGTATACACTTGAAATGTGAAAATAGAGATTAGAATATATGAGATTTAACAGTAATGAGGAAAAATTAAATATACTATCAGGAAAGTTCTCATAGAGGCTGCCAGTTCTGAAAGTTACCATTGGAGGAGCTGATACACTCTAGAGTGAACAGGGAAAGCTCAGAGTATGACCAATCCTTGTAATCAACTCTGCCCTACCTAGCCAGTGTTAACAGTATGCCTAAAGATCAATCGCATAGATGATATTAGGGTTGCACTAACAATATTTATTTATTAATGAAATACAAGGGCAAGTTAATTTATCATGTTACTGTCTAATTTCATTTTAACATGGATGACAAAGTTCATAGAGTATAAGTTAAGAAGATAGTTTCTGAAGATATTGAGAATAGAAGAACTACATCTTAGTACTTAACTCTTAAATGTTCCTAGTCATAGGATTACTATGTGAACAATATGTAATCTAGATAGATGAATATGCACTATGTTTGCTCATATTTGATTTGCGTGACTCATCTAATTCACTAGTATAAGGACACTAAAGCAGATGTGTGGGTTCTTGTTAGAGAACAAGTACACTAAATGTGACCATTGACTATTAAAGTATTATTTTTCATATAAAATTTTATATACCTGTCAATGTTAAATTTTAAAGTTATAATTGTACAACTAATCCTTAGACTTGAGACATCATGGTTGTCTTGTGCATGGACTTATATGCTTTAACGATATAACATATTTATATACTAATAATATAACTTTTATATATATTATTGGACATAGTTAGACATGCATGGAGACTTATGAGTGTACAACATGGAACCTATCACCCTTAATAAATAAAGTGAGAATGTCTTATGCTGTAAAATTTAGGTAAATTTGAACTTTTTATGAAAAAGGGCAAAAGGATAATTTGTCACTTTGGTACGAGTTATAAACCTGAATTTTTCTAGAGTTCGGATGATGAAACGGACCTCACTATTAGATTTGTCTCGCAAAATCTAACTACCCTGTCATTTTTCGTCGAATTCCGAAATAGTTAAAATTTTCACGTTTTACAAGACGGTCGAGTCTCGGGTGACTCTAAAACGAAAATTTTAAATTTTTTTTTTTAAATTTAGAAAATAATTTAAAGCAAGTTGAAATAAAAATATTTTGAACTTGAATCGAGGCTAAATTTTATCGTTTTAGAGCGAAAATGGGCCCGAAAAAATAGGGTTATGTGGCGCAATGAGGACCAAGTGTTTAAGTAGTATAAAAAGGGAAGAAATATCATATTTCTCCCAATTTGGTCTGCTGGTTCTCACGTTGGGGAGAAAGAGGGGAAAAAAGCTTGGGCACTCCATATTCTCTATACGATCTACGGAGATCGGGTGCTCGAATTCACTCGGGTCAAGAACAAAAGTTGTTCTTCTCGTCGAGGGCACAAAATCATACCATGGAGGTCGGGTTTGGGTGAGATTCCAAGGATGGGATTTTGGGCAAGTGAAGATTCTAGCTTAAATCAGGTTCTTGAAGCTTCTCAACGTCGTTTTACGTTTCAAAAGGTAGGATTTTCTCCCTAATTAGTTTATTTCCAACTTAGGGTTGTGATATGAAATAGGTAGGTTGTTAGATACCTTTAACACTTGTCTATTGTTGATGATTTGATGAAATGAGTATTGAAATTGGTAACTTTGAAATTACTATCTTGTGATTTCTTGAAAATTTTGATATATGGGCATGCTATGTGTTTATATTATGCTTATGTGAACTTAAGTGTGTTCTGCCTAGATTATGTATAACATGCTTGGGAAGTTGTTGTTGGATGTATTGTGGATGTATGCTTGATGATACGTTAGCATTATGATGAATCATGAAAATTATATGCTTTTGATGTAATTGGCAATAGAATTGAGAAACTTGCTCATTTTGACATTCATTGCATATTGGGCATGATGTTGGTATCACATTTATGAGCATTGTGCATGAGTGGGGTTGCATGTGTGCATAGTTTAATCAAACACTATACCTGGTAGATGATGGGTGGGCTTGAGAAAGATAGATCGAAGGCCTAGCTGAGTCGCATGGTTTGCACGATAAATTAGGTTGGTATTAGCAAGAAGGGCTAGAAGATCTCTCAGGTGGAAGACCTGGTAGTTGGGATACGTACTCCCTTGGTTTGGTCTATAAAGTGTGTGGGTGTACGCGGAACCCTTGGTGGAAGTCCATAAATTCAGTATGAGTTGGGTTACCCTTGGTGTAAGTCCATGTATACCCACCCCAAGAAAGACCCTAGATTTATAAATGTCATTTGATGTGCCACATAAATGACGGATTCATACACATCGACATAACATGTGTTGTGGGAGTCAGTGAGGGCTCGGGTTGAGTTGCATAAGTGAGTCTCATCTCATTTCATGGCATGACATAGTAAATTCCAACATTGAGTTGCATTTTCTTGATTGGAATTATTGTAGATGGTTGAATGTTGCATGTGAACATTTCATATGCACTTAGGTTGAGAAGTAGCCTCTTTAGGAGATACTCTATTGAGCATGACTCACCCTTTATGGGACAACATTTCATGTGTGGGATACACGCCGATGGACGGTTCTCATTCAGGCTCTTAAGGAGGAGGAAAAGCTGATATGTGGCTTTATTTTGAGTTTTTTTTGTAAAATTATTATGAAAAACTAAATTTTGGCATGTAAATATATGAAATTTCTTGTAATAGAACTTGTTGTATCATGTTTCATGTGAAAAAACTTCATTAAACATGTATTGAATGGTTATGGGATGGATTTGATGAGATTGAATATTAAAAATAGGTGAAATAGGCAAATTTGGGCACAACCTACCGGTAGAACATTAACCTATCGATAGAACTTTGTCCAGTAGGCAAAATCTATTGGTAGAACTTTGTCCAATAGGCAAAACCTATCGGTAAAACTTTGTCTAGTAGGCAAAACCTATCGGTAGAACTTTGTCCAATAGGTACAACGTACCGGTACAACTTTTCTAGTGGCCAAAAACTTAATGGTAGGACAATGTCAAACCTACCGGTAGGTTTTTCAAAAATCTGAAATTTTAAGAATACTTTGTCATGCTTTCGGGCTATGTGTTCCCTCAAAATGTAAATAAACAATAATGGAGTATAAGTTGTAGCATATTGGACCTTGATTGGGTCAAATAGAAAAATGTACGCG